TTTACAATGCTCCATTTGATGTAGGTCCATACAAAAATTTGTGTGAAAATTTCAGATCATTCGAACACTCTGTTTTTCCAAACTAATTATTCTAGTTGTGAAAAATGACACAAATTGAAAACTGTTGCAACCCTTTTCACTCAAATCGTGCTAAGAATAGCATAACAATATGATTTTCAATTTATTTCTTAGTTTATTTTTAATTATCTCTTGCATATCCTTCTGTTTTAAGTGTCCCAGTTGATCTATGTATGAAATTGAAAATTTTATGTTTTTAGTTTTTTAGCTCGACTTTTCTATGAAAAGGGGAGCTATCCTACTCGCCCCGGCGTCGGCGTTGGCGTCACACCTTGGTTAAGTTTTTCGTACCACCCCACTTTATTTCAGAAGTATTACAAGTATGGCTTTGAAACTTACCATACTTGTTCACCATCATAACCTCCATCTACAGACAAGAGTACATAACTCTGTCAAGGTTTTTGACAGAATTATGGCCCTTTTTTGACTTAGAAAGTGTATTGAGCTTGGTTAAGTTTTTTGTACCACCTCACTTTATTTCAAAACCATTGGAGGTATTGCTTTGAAACTGACCATACTTGTTTACCATCACGACCTTCATCAACAGACAAGAGGACATAACTCTGTCAAGGTTTTTGACAGAATTATGCCCCTTTTTGACTTAGAAAATACATTGAATATGGGTAAAATCCACTTATTGCCTTAACCCTTTGAGATATTGCTTTGAAACTTTTAATGCTATTTCACATCATTACCCCCATCTGTACGCAAGAGAAGGTAACTCTGTCAAGGATTTGTTTTAAAAATTAAGGCCTTTTATCGACTTAGAATCTTGGTTAAGTTTTTAGTACCAGTCCACTTTTTGACTGAACTGTTTGAGATATTAATTTGAAAGTTGGAATACTTGTTTACAATCATGATTCCCAAACATGTCCAGGAGAAGGTAATTCTGTCAAAGATTTTATTTGAATTATGGCCCTTAACTGTCAATGTTTTGTATTATAGGCAAGCACTAAAAAAGTCGAGCGCGCTGTCTTACGGACAGCTCTTGTTTTCACTCCAGTGGAGTTCATTTAAGTCGATGAATACTGGCTGGGTTGTCTTGTAAAGAATTCAACAACAAGTTAACCAATGTTTTGAGCATTTTAAAAAACTCGAATGAAAAAGCACACAGACAGCATTCCATTCTACTGCAAACATCCAGATTTTTTAATTTTCTATTGATTCAATTTTATCCCTATTATTAATGTATACCAAACTTTGATATTTCAAAGCTAAACAGCAAAGAATACAATGTTCTGGATCTATGTAAAAAGAAGAAAAATATTTTTAATTAACTTGTATATGATAACTTTTAGAGCTTTATTCAACTTCATCACCAAATTCGTTATCTATATTCTTCAACTGTATGTATAATGTTGTTCCTCTGTGTTCTTCTTTTGTTCTATTTTGTTCAAATGTCCTTGCCAAAATTTCTTGTTAATTTGTTTATATCTTTTGTTGCCAAACTTGTTATGTTGTGTGATTGTAAATATATCAAAAAAAGATGTTCTTGTAAAACTTGTTGCTTTTTTATTGTTAAATATAAAGTATACTAAGAATATTTCATATGAGCAATAAATACTCATTGTGACAGTGAGTAATAAATAAGGCTATTGTCAGTCCAACTTGCCCTGTTCCACTCCTTTTTAAAATGTTTTTTTTTTCAAGTGTAAGAGGAGGACAAATACATTATACCACTGGCCTGTAATGTACGTAAGCCAGGGAGTTTAAGGGATCTTTGAAACAAACAATTTGATATGGAAGATTTGGATTCTATGACCAAGATGACAAGATAGGCAGATGCTATCTAAAGCCACATATTTGTCAATGTTCGTCAATACACTTTGGTTAATGAAAAGGTTATTTGTAGAAAAGTGTGAAAATCTATAATTAGTATTAGTGACATTGACCCCTATGACCCCTAACTAATCCTGAAATATGAAGACAATTAAATGTATCTATCAGTGACCTTGTTCCAAGTGACCTCTAAATCCCACCTATCACTTAGTAACGGTTGACGTTGACCCACATGACAACATACTTCATCTAAAATTAGAGACCCATACATGGTATCAGCCCCTAACTATTTAGGGCATAAGTCAATAAATAAGGCCAGCTGTATAAACAGGTGTAAAGATCCATTTTTAGCACCAATGAACTTGACCTTAGTGACCTTCCTGGACAAAAGCATAAAACGCATTATTAAGTACATATTTTTTTTAAAAGGAAATGAAAAAAAGAAGAGTAAAACTATAATTCATACACTCCTGTTTTTCACTTGCCTCTACCACTGTGTATAGCGTTATTATAGTTCTTAGACATTGGATAGCTCTTACTGTTGAGCGTTGATCAAACTTCTTCAATATATTGTATTTAAGTTATTATATTGGCAAATATGATAAAGCTTTATAAGGCTTATAAATCAAACAGTTGAATTTAGAGTGATGGCCACCTGACATTGCACTTCCTCTTGTTGGTCTCTATAAACATGGAAAGTTTCAATGAGATAGATATTTTATACTCCAGACAAGCTTTATTATACATTTTTCAATCTTCATTAAGGGAAACAATAATAACAAGCAGTATAGCATTATGGTTTTAGAACACTGAATTTCTTCATACTGATGACTATCACTGGGTAAAGTTCCTATCAATTTCCTTTAATACTTTTCAAGTTATTCTTGGGACTGTTGTAAGCCAGAGGGACGAACGAACGGACGGAGTTTCAAGTTCCAACAGTTCGAGCTTTTTAGCTCACCTGTCACAAAGTGACCGGGAAAGCTTTTGTGATCGCTTTTCATCCGGCGTCCGTCCGTCGTCCATCCGTCGTCCGTAAACTTTTGCTTTAAATGATATCTCCTCATTAACCACTGAGCCAATTTCATCCAAACTTCACAGGAATGTTCCTTCGGTGGTCACCTTTAAAAATTGTTCAAAGAATTTAATTCCATGCTGAACACTGGTTGCCATGGCAACCGAAAGAAAAATCTTTAAATATCTTCTTTTAAAAAACCCTAAGAGCTAGAGCTTAGATATTTGGCATGAAACATCTTCTAATGGTTGTCTACCAAGTTTGTTCAAATAAAAGTCCTGGGGTCAAAATTGGCCCTGCCCCAGGGGGTCATTGATTTTCCCTATATGCATATAGTAAAAACTTTAAAAATCTTCTTTAAAAGAACCCAAAGAGTTAGAGCTAAGATATTTGGCATGAAACATCTTCTAGTGAGTGTCTACCAAGTTTGTTCAAATAAAAGCCCTGGGGTCAAAATTGGCCCCGTCCCGGGGGGTCATTGATTTTCCCTATATGCATATAGTAAATCCTTAAAAAATCTTCTTTTAAAGAACCGTAAGAGCTAGAGCTTAGATATTTGGCATGAAACATCTTCTAGTGAATGTCTACCAAGTTTGTTCAAATAAAAGCCCTGGGGTCAAAATTGGCCCCGCCCTGGGGGGTCATTGATTTTCCCTATATGCATATAGTAAAACCTTTAAAAATCTTCTTTTAAAGAACCGTTAGAGCTAGAGCTTTGATATTTGGCATGAAACATCTTCTAGTAAATGCCTACCAAGTTTGTTCAAAGAAAAGCCCTGGGGTCAAAATTGGCCCGGCCCAGGGGTCATTGATTTTCCCTATATGCATATAGTAAAAGCTTAAAAAATTTTCTTTTAAAGAACCCAAAGAGCAAGAGCTAAGATATTGAGCATGAAACATCTTCAAGTGAGTGTCTACCAAGTTTGTTCAAATTAAAGCCCTCGGGTCAAAATTGGCCCCGCCCCGGGGGGTCATGATTTTCCCTATATGCATAAAGTAAAAACTTAAAAAAATCTTTTTAAAGAACCATAAGAGCTAGAGCTTAGATATTTGGCATGAAACATCTTCTAGTGAATGTCTACCGAGTTTGTTCAAATAAAAGCCCTGGGGTCAAAATTGACCCGCCCCAGGGGGTGATAGATTTTCCCTATATGCATATAGTAAAAAGTTAAAAATTTTCTTTTAAAGAACCCAAAGAGCTAAAGCGAAGATATTTAGCATGAAACGTCTTCTAATGAGTGTCTACCAAGTTTGTTCAAATAAAAGCCCTGGGGTCAAAATTGGCCCCGCCCCAGGGGGTCATTGATTTTCCCTATATGCATAAAGTAAAAACTTAAAAAAATCTTCTTTTAAAGAACTCAAAGAGCTAGAGCTAAGATATTTAGCATGAAACATATTGTAACGGGTGTCTACCAAGTATGTTCAAATGAAAGCCCTGGGGTCAAAACTGGCCCCGCCCGGGGGGGGGGGGGGTCATTGATTTTCCTTATATGTGTATAGCAAAAACTTAAAAATCTTCTTTGAAAAAAACCCAAATAGCTAGAGTTTAGATATTAAGCATGAAACATCTTTAAGTAAATATCTACAAAGTTTGTCCAAATAAAAGCCTGGGGGTCAAAACTGGCCCTGCCCCAGGGGTGTCATTGTTTTTAACTATATGTGTATAGTAAAAACTTTAAAAATCTTCTTTTAAAAAACCCAATGAGCTAGAACTTAGATGTTTAGCATGAAACATCTTCTTATGGGTGTCTTCCAAGTCTGTTCAAATAAACAAATAAAAGACCTTGGGTAAAAATTGGCCCGGGGGTGGGGGGCCTATGTACAGGTGAGCGACCTCAGGGCCATCATGGCCCTCTTGTTTCTTTTATTTATGACATTTTCTGAGTTTCTAACCAGTGAAAATTACTTTCCATTTTTTCTACTAAGATTATGGACGGATTGAAACGGACTTGTCATTTTAATGTACTCAGGGCTCATTTCTTTTGTTATTTTCTTTTGTTTAATAGAGGGACTCGTAAATCATTGGCTGTTTGATTGGACAGACAGATGAACGGACAAGGCGGCAAAATATTTCAAATAGCAATAACACAGTCACAATTTTTTGTCTTTTATTCCCTTTGTTCTGTTTATTCAAAGAAGTACACAGATATAATGAGTAAATCTTTTGAATCATTTAGATTTATCAGTTTATTTCAAGCAATATAGATCACTACTGTCTTAAAATGTTATCAAAAATGATTTGCAGAGATGATATTGTTTTAAAGAAAAACAATTCTTAATATACGAACATCAACAAATTCTAAACGTTTAAAAGCGTTGCATAAATAAATATGATTCTTTGAATGCATTCTGTTTCAACAATGTAAGTATAAATTATATTGAAATTAGAAGGTAAAGTTTTGAAATGTATACGAATTGTAATTGTTATGTAAATGATGTAATTAAGCCAACCAACACATTGGCCATCTTAGATAGGCTTTATGAATTGTACTGTTATTTTAATTCAATCTTTTAAAAACATCTTTTAAATATTTTATATTTGTTTTTGAAACTATAAATACATATTTATAAAAGCTTTGTTAGTTAGCCAATCAAGGAAAGAAGTCACATAAATTATAAATTTAATTGTGTCATGCAGTGGTTTTATCGATATTTGTATTCAAATTTTATTTCTCTACTTAACAATAATTGGAATTACAGCTAAATAAAAATGTGACATTCATTTCAACCATTACTTATTAGATTCATTAAATGCAAAGAAATGTCTCTTAAAAACAAAACAAATTGTTAAGCCAAAAATAATTGAGTATAAATAATGTTAAGTACTATGCCGATATTTTTTAGTTATAGAAAATTAACATTATGAAAAATAGCCACTCGTCCTCCAACCCCACCATTGAAACAGTCTGTCCAAATTAATCATCAATATTGCCCGCATTAGCAGATGGGCAAGGAATATATCTGTAAGTAAAATATACAAAAACAACTAAGCATCATATTTCAATTCGTGTAAAGCATGTTAACGTGTTTTCAAATTCAAGTCTACTAACTTCTGGCACACATTGTTTACAATATTCAACATAGCAACGATTTAAAAATCATTGCAATATTTAAGTGCCAAAAATTAAAATAAAGTGATATTCCAACCCATGCGAATAATTCATTATATAGTTTCTTGTTAATGTTAAGACTTGGAAAAAAGAACGCTCGAACTTCCGTGTTTGAAACAGTAGCTTAAAATCAAATTGACTGAACATTTCTTGATGTACTTATTCATTTTATATAAAGCCGGTGCTAGGGGCGTGAATAGTAGCTTGCATTTACCAATACCATTCTTGAATACGCTGACTCAAACCGAGCATCTATCATTTTAAAATTTATCCTGCTGTACGCCTTTTATTTTTCTATTTTGACTATTTTTTTTAAATTTTAAGTGTTTGTTTCACTGTAAAACAATTTTGAAGAGTTCTTGCCAGACACAATTATGATACCTATGTTTGATCACTTTCATATTCTACACTCGCATTTAAACTTACACCGCGTTTTATATCCTGTTTCAGTTATTTGAAAATATTCACAAATAAAAATAACAGTAACACTTTGTTTTGTATGCTACTGGCCTTTGACGAGTTTGAATAATACATGTTTATATTTTAGTCAGAGCATGTTCAATGAAACACAGAATGTCCTAAGTAGAGTTTAAAAATATTAAGTTATGAATGTCCCTTAGGGCTAACCTACTATGTAGAGTTTACGCAAAAAAATCCAGACCATTTTTAACACATGATTCTCAAGGAGTAAGCTATATCTACTAAAAATATTTTGATAAAATTTATAAACGGTGAAATAATGTCATTTCAATAATCTTTTGATCGATTCTCAAAAATTAGTTGTGACGGAAATGGGCTCTGCTACTTAACGCTACAATATAGAATGTTTCTGAAAACCGAAAGTATGATATTTAGTTTAATTAATCAGAAATTTGATTTTCCAAAACAAGAAAATGATGCAAGTATATCATAAAACTTACTCAACTTTGACTTTAACATCACCTAGAGGTCTTCTTTCACAACAACAATCAGGATCCTCGGTCGTTGTTGTAGACATCTAATAAAGTCAAGTAAAGGTCATCACATGCAGCATGTATATATACCTTAATTAATTCCATTTACTTTGAGATAAATATGTTTCTACCATCATCAAATAATAATCAAATTTAACAAAAGTGAAAAAAGTGAGATTTTATTAAATATTTATTAAAACTAATTGCTTTTCATTGTAAAAAAATGCTGACTAGAATTTTACAAATATAAAATAGCAACAATAACTTGTGTATACGGTATTTATATATTAAAAAATAATATTTTTATCTCATATTTTTGTAACAACCGTATAAATAATACTTAAAATGTAAAATTACTCACAGTACTTGATGTTATTCTGAAACGAAAGAAATATAAACAAAGATGATTTTACATATACAGTGAGGTTAAATATAAAGCATGATAATATACTGTACTTATGAAGTTTCGGGATATCCCACGCTGACCAGGGATTGCGTATGGTTATGGCTGATAAGCTCACAAGTTTTTTTTACGAAATAAAATGATGCATTTTGCTATGCTGATGATATCTTCCATTTTTGTCAAAACTGAACATATCAGTAGGTAAAACTGTGTAATGTTCTACATTTTTTTGATAAAGTTTTATCTACTGTATACTTTAAACTAGAAATGTGTCATCATGCCACGGATGCCCCCGCATGCAGCCAAAATTTCAGATGGTGCATTAATTATTTTTTTCATTTTAAGTTCAAAGCCCTTAAAACTTTTCAATGTTAACACAAACCATTTCCACACAATGTTCAAGGCACTGAAATTATTCAGTCTTAACCTTTTAGAAATAGCATATTGCATATTTGTAGCCAAAATAATGGCTAAAAGAATGAGTGCTGAAACTGAAAGTTCAAAATTTTTCCAACATTCAGGAAAGATAAGTTTGTCTAAAATCATTGAACCATGACCAAATTCAAACTTAAACTGGTTATTCCTAAGATGTATCTATATTATTTTCAAAGTGAAAGGGACATAACTCTGCCAAAAAATCATCAAACCATGACCAAATTCGAACTTGACCTGCCCATTCCTTTGACATATCCATATGTCAAATTAAAGTTGAATATGTAACACTGTTGGGTAGATAATGAACAGAAACTGTAAATTTCATATTATTTTCAAAGTATAAGGGGCATTACTCTGCCAAAAATCATTGAACCATGACCAAATTCGAACTTGGCCTGGGCATTCCAAAAAAATATGTCAAATTTGAGTTGAATGTGTTGTACCATTGGGGAGATAATAAACGGAAACTGAAAATTTCATATCACTTTCAAAGTGAAAGGGGCATAACTCTGCCAAAAATCATTGAACCATGACCAAATTTGAACTTGACCTGCGCATTCCTTTGACGCATCCATATGTCGCGTTTGAGTTTAATGTGTTGTACCGTTGGGGAGATAATGAACGGAAACTGAAAATTTCATATTATTTTCAAAGTAAAAGGGGCATAACTCTGCCAAAAATCATCGAACCATGACCAAATTCGAACTTGACCTGTATTTTCTCATGCCATATCCATATGTCAAGTTTGAGTTGAATGTGTTGTACCGTTGGGGAGATAATAAACGGAAACTGAAATTTCATATTATTTTCAAAGTAAAAGGGGCATAACTCTGCCAAAAATCATCGAACCATGACCAAATTCGAACTTGACCTGTATTTTGTCATGACATATCCATATGTCAAATTGGAGTTGAATGTGTCCAACCGTTCTTAAGATAATGAACGGAAACTGATGATGACGGAATAACAGAAGGACGGAAGGACGGAAGGACGGAATGACGGAACAGGGTAACACTTTATGCCCCGGCCATTACATCGTCGCCCTAATTCCATAATGATGTAAGTCGTATTTTACCATTTTGAGAAAATCGAGTTCAAAGTTTTAACAGGCTATATCTTCACACTTACTTAACCAATTTTAATATAAAACACATCATAGTGTGCAGAATTATTTTAACTTGTACACTTTTAATTACGAAGAAGTTCCTGTAGATAGTTTTTTAAAAAATCAAAATAAAAGAAATGAAAAATCACTGAAAAATATATTTTATTGACAAAAATACAAGAACCAGAATGCTGTAATAAGTTACAGCAATTTGACCCTAAAATATCATTACATTTAGGAGTTAAAACAGTGTGAAATAATGACTATTTTACTGTTTTATACTGAAATTATATTAAATTTAGACGTAACTAAAATTGAATGCTTTAACGAATAGTCTGGATCCACATTTATTTAGGCACCACAGAGCATGTAATGTGATCAGGATCAAAACAGTAAATTTAGTCTTAAAAGTCAATAATAGAAATCCAGGCAATGCGGTGAAGTGTGAATAGCCAAGAACAGGCATTTTAAGGTTGTAATTGAACTCGGGCTTCATTATCTTATGACCATTTACATGAAATAGTGAGCCTTGCAAATGAACAACAAAAAAAAATATTGCTGATTTTGTAAATGTATCACATTGAGTTAAATAAAACGAAATCAAAATTTAGAAACATCGTCATTGTATTGATATTTACCACATTAAATAGCAAAACTTTTATCACATGATATGCTATTTTCACATTAACATTGTGCACTATAAAATATTTGGAATTCACATTTACTTTTGGTTTCGTTTATTATACCATTAACTCATTCCAAATTCAATTTTGAATACCTGTTACTTGCATACAAACAGCATGTTGAACACAATTTGACTTATAAAACACACAAAAATGTTTGAAAGATGTAACTGCTTCAACTTTGAAAAACAACATTAACAATTACTTCCTTTCTCTGCAACATGAAAAAGAATAAACCTATGTATTTTACTTTTCTAGGAACAGCATTACTTAATGTTTTGTTTTTTAAAAAAAAGAAAAATATGAAACACAACTCAAAGCTCACAAATTTTCAAAGATGCTACAGATCTGGATATGGTGTTTCAATGAACTACTGTACTTCAATTACTTCATATATTTATATATCAAGTGGCATACAACATCTTTACATACAATAACAATTAAGTATACGTTTGCTTTTAATGTTTTTAACTGAACTGTTTACATCAAAAACTCATTCGTATAAAAGCAATGCTCAATATCTAAGAGTTTCAGTCAAATATTAATTCTATTTTACTTCAACAAACGTTTGATGAAACAAATATGACAATTTAAAGTTTCTTTAATGTTTTATATGGTCTTAAGACTTTGTAACATTTTTCACAAAACCATTTTCTCTACGTTTCAATCGAATGACAATTTTTAACTAAGCATATTTTTTCTTTCTTTTTAAAAATAGTTTTGGTAATGGATAATTTTCAGTTCAAAGGTTCAAATCACTTGATAATTAAGTACAGGTAGTATTACATTACGAGTTGGAAGTAGATGTACAAGAATTATTTTTAACTTAGAAACTTAGATTAATTTTGCTTTGCATGTTCCAATTATTTAAGAAATTTTAGCATAAGATTATGTTGACAAAAAGGTATAGATTGACACCCTGTTGATTTATGCAAAATAGCTGAGTAGGTCAACAGGGTGGCATTCTGTTTAATAAGTATTTGTTGTGCAAATGACGTCTCTTATTCAACGCTAAATGGTGCATCTGAGACAACTCGGTCTCAGCTTTTAAACTTTTGTTATAGGGATATTATCAACTTTAACCCACCATATAGGCTTTGACGTTTGGACGTACTGTTTTAAGAACACAAACGAGTGATGTAGGACTGAACACTTCTGCCATTTTAAAAGTGTTTTGTCTTTCTTTCTATATGACAGTGGGTATTGTTAACCACTCTGGATTGCATAATGCCTTGGACAGCAAAACTTTTGATATTTTTGTGATCGTTATATGAAAGTGCAGAATTTTGAAATTATGAAAATTATGAAATTATGAATTATGAAATAAACATGATTAACATAATTTAACATCAGTTATGAGTGGTAAAGTATATGTGTAAATTTTATTCGAATCACTTAGCACCAGTACGGTAATTTGTCTTATATAGTAAAAGAAAAACATTGTACAAAATGTAACAATGGCAGTAGTATGTTTCTATTTGATGAGTTTTGTTTGTAAGTTAAAAGTATAAACAATCTTATGCAAAACCTGATTGTCCGTATTTAATGGTAACATTGATCAATCAATCATATAATCAATCACATATCAAGTTATTAACAGTTGATACTTGTGAATATTGAAAGTTTGTATCTATTTATCCGATTTCCATGCTATCCGAATTTCATAACACAGCATGGTGCTTTGAATTAAGCTCAAGGGTTAAGAGTAGTTATTATTTCTTTTTATGGTTTGAAACAGTTCAATAAAAAATTAATCCATAGATAATTAGATAACATCTAAAGCTAAGCACTTACATGTTATCAAGAAATATAAAACTTAAAATGCCATTCCTGATACCTTGAAAAATCTGCCATTTTGTCAAAACAGCATCACGTGACTAGAATCCTAACAAACTATTGGTTCAGAAGTTACGATATTATGGACTGTACTTTTATCACAATTTTTGGACTTACAGCACTCTGACCCATTCAATATATTGTTACAGGCAAGAACCAGAGTGATGTTGATCTTACCATTAGATAGAGAAAAAAATTACGAACATTTTGATACCAAACACTCATTTTTTTCAAAATTGGAGTTACGACACTCTGGAATTAGGGCGACGACATGGCGGGGGCATAAAAAAAACTAACAATATATTATGATAATATATACATATATTCTTTAATAATGTGACCTTTAAATGATTTGATTTGGATATATATGTTTCTTAAACAGACTTAGGTATTTTAAATTGAAAAAAAAAAACCCTACGTATACACAATGCCTATCGAACTTCATTAAAATATGATACACGTACATCACTATATAGTTAAAATATTTACTACAAACTTGTTAAAACATAACATTTAATTAACATTTATGAAGAAACAACGGATGACACTTCTTGTTAAAAGATGATCATATTCTGTTACATGACTAGATAAGTCATTTACCGAGGCCGTTACACTTCTTTTGTGTACAAATCGATTAGACAGTCTGCTGACTTTGATGTTAGAAAATTATATAAAAAAACAGATGAAAAGATGAATAAAAAGGAGACAACATACGTTGTGGAACTGGTTGAGCTTGTTGTTGTTCTATAATAGAAAAAAAACAACAACATATAAATGGTAAATATCAAGTAAAATACAACATCGGG